GAGATCACAGTTAAGAGACTTTGGATTTTTAGAGACTTGGGATATTTTAAAGAGACCAAACTTTTAAAGATTGTGGAACTTTTAAAGTAATATCGTGTTCTGTATTGTGGTGTTAATATGAAGGCTGGAGAGAAAATGAAAGTTTATGGTTTTGTTTGTTTGTTTGTTTTTATTTTGTGGGGCAAGGAAAGGGTTTATTTTGCTTATGCTTTCAGATTGCTGTTCATAAGGGCAGGAACCTGGAAGTAGGAGACAATACAGAGGCTGTGGAGGGGTGCTGCTTACTGGTTTGCTCAGCCTGCTTTCTTTCTTCCTTTTTATTTTATTTTATTTTTTTATTTTTTGGTTTGTCGAGACAGGGTTTCTCTGTGTAGCTTTGCGCCTTTCCTGAAACTCGCTTTGTAGACCAGGCTGGCATCGAACTCACAGAGATCCGCTGTGCTAGATCTGCCTCCCGAGTGCTAAGATTAAAGGCGTGTGCCACCACCGCCCATCTTTTTTCTTTTATTTATTCTTCTCTAATACAATACATCCCACTGCTGTTTCTCCTCCCTCTGCTACTCCCCCCCACCACCCCAGCAACCTCTTCTCTCCCCTAGATCCACTCCTCCATTTACCTCCAGAAAAAGAGCAGGCCTCCCAGGGATATCATCTGAACATGGCATAACAAGTTACAGTAAGACTAGGCAATTGGGAACCAAAATGAGAATTCTGCCAACTTAATTTTTTTTTTAATTTTTAATTTTATTCTTTACATTCATTACATCCCAACTGCAGTTTCTCCTAACTCTACTCCTTCCAGCCCTCCCCTGCACGTCTCACCCCTGCAACTCAGACTAGGCACAAACCCTCATGTCAAGGCTGAACAAGGCAATCTAGTAGGAGGAAAAGGGTCCTAAGATATGCAGAAGAGTCAGAGACACCCCCTCTCCCACTGTTAGGAGTCCCACAAGAAGACCAAGCTACACAACTGTTACATATATGCAGAGGACCAAGCTCAGACCCATGCAGGCTCCCAGATTATCAATTCAGTCTCTGTGAGCCCTATGAGCCCTGGTTAGTTGATTCTGTGGGTCGTGTTCTCTTGGAGTTCTTGACCCATCTGGCTCCTACAATCCCTCCTCCTCTTCTGCATGGTTCCCTGAGCTCTGTATTTTTGTGTCAAGTTCACAAAAGATCAATTGCACTGGTTTTTTGGGGTTTTTTTAATCAACTTGACACAAGCTATAGTCATCTGAGAAGTGGGAAACTTAACGAATACCTAAGATTGGCCTGCAGTAAAGCCTTTGGGGCATTTTTTAACTGACGATTGATATGGAAGGGCCCAATTCACTGTGGGTGGTGCCACCTCTGGATCCTGGATTATATAAGGAAGAAAACTGAGCAAGCCAAGAGGAGAGCAAGCCAGTAAGAAGCGTTCCTTCATGGTCTCTGCTTCTGCTCCTGCCTCCAGGTTTCTGCTTTGAGTTCCTGGCCTGACTTCCCTGGATGATAAACTACAAACTGAAGTTGAAATTAACCCTTTCCTCCCAAAGATGCTTCTGGTGATAATGCTTATCACAGCAATAGAGCTGCCACTGAGGGCCATGTCTGTGTCTTGGCCCTACACCAGGGTCTGCATTGATGTCCATGGCTCCTGTTACCACCAAGGTCCATGCAGATACCTGGGATCTGGTCAGCCACCTGAGACCTTGTTGGTGTCCAAGGGCCATGCTGCCGCTGGCACCATACTGAACTGGGTGACCTGAGCTTCCACCTGACCATGGTGACATCTGGGACTGAGCTGTTTGCCAAGGACCCTGTCTGGGTCCTTGGTCTTCCTGCAGCTGGGGTCTGTGTTGACCTCCATGGCCCACATTACCACAGGGGCCATAGGAACCATGTGTGTTGAAATCTGAGGCTTGTGATGAGCCAACACCACCCTTAGCTGGAGCTGGGAGAGCTGGCCCTGCCCCTTGCTAATAACTGCAGCAGAAGACCTGGCCATGCCCCTCGTGGGAGTGCTGGTCCCACCCCTCACCACCTTGGGGGGGGGGTAGAAGATCTAGCCCCTCCCCTTGCATGATGCAGGTGGTCCTAGCAGCCTGGACTGACCAAATCAGCTACCACCCAGACCCACATCCAGGGCTTTGAGTTGGCCCACCCCAAAATCTACCCCATCCATGACCTGCCAGAGTGTGTGAAGGGACTGGTCCTGCAGAACTATAGCCACAGGATCTCCATGACTCGGGGCAACAGCAGGATATCTGAGAGGAGTTCTGGTGAGGGTCCAGTATTGATGGTGTACCAGAAGCTAAAGACTTTGAACCAGACCAACAACTCATTACAATGAACATTTGCAAGTAAAGCAGAGTGGACAAAAGGGTGTACTGTGTGACACATTGCAGCTCCCAATGCCACTAAGATGAATGAAGAAGTGTTGGAGAGGTGGGAAAGATGGAGGAATGTTTGTTTTGTTTTTAATTAATTTTTTTTATTTGGGGGGGACACTGCAGGGATGAGGGGAAGATATGCAAGGACTTGGAAATGAGTGGGATTGAGGTACATGATGTGAAATTCCCAAAGAAGCAATAAAAATTTACATTTAAATCTTAGTTTTCTATTATGCTGATAAAACAAACCCCATGACCAAAATCAACTTATAAAGGAAAGGATTTCTTTTATCTTAGAGAATTTAGTCCATCATCCACATCATCCAAGGATGTCAGGCCAGGAACTCAAGGCAGAAACCTGGGGGTCAAAACTGATGCACAAACCATGGAGGAGTGCTGCTTAGTGGCTTGTTCAGGCTATTTTCTTATACATACCAGGACCACTTGCCCAGGGGTGGCACTCCCATATCAATCATCAATCAAGAAACTGCAAGATATCTACTTTGAGAACTGCCCACAGAAACCAAAGTTTTAAGGCAATAGCCTTAGTTCCAATAGCCCCAGCAGAGTAGAGTAAGCCAACTGCTGCAATACGCCAATTAAAGAAACACACAATACTAAAAAAAAAACAGAGAAAGGAGATTTAAGCTGTGTGTATTGGACAGAGGAACAGATAAAAAGGATCCTGTGACCCCCAAGTTCATCTGAGTACCACTAAAAGAACTTTAGGTTTTACTATAGGAAGAAATGATTAGTCAAGACGTCATGGTCAAGGTGTGGTCCCACCCATCATTGTCTCTACTCTGTCCTGCAAGGTGGTCCAATAAAAAGTTGTTCATCTGTTAATACTAATCAATGCCTGATGGACTCAGTCTGGTTCCTACCAGATGACCTGTTCCTGGTCATGTGTAGCCTCTCATTCACAGACATCATCATCTAAAAAAAGAGTCTATCCTGTTTGTGAGGATTTGTTGTTCCTGGAATCTAAGGTGAATAGTGGTTTAGGAAAATGACTGTATCTTTAACATTAAAGGAAGATAGCAGGTTAGGAATTACTAGGATTCCAGAAAGATATTCTGTGCCTCAGGAGAGTCATTTGAGTAAGCGTCTGAGTGCAGGTAAATGGAGATGGGTGCAAATGGAAGGCAAAGATGCCAGGCTTCCATGCTGCTCACAGATGCATTTTGGACTCAAGGGAGGAGTCGGTGTTTTTTCTCTTCTTTTGAAAAGCAGCTTCTAAGTGTTTGTTGCCTCTCCAGTTACAGGTCAGGGAGTCTATTTTATAGTCGACAGTTTGGCTGGTAACTTTACATGAGGTCTAGGTCAGAGCTCCCTTCCCATTGCATTATATCAAAAGACATTGGATCAAAGGCAGGGGGTAACTTAAAAGTCTCTGACAGGCTATAGGCTATACTCAAGGTTTCTTTTTTGAATGATATGACTTGCATGGATATAACCAAAAAGCAATTTAAAATAAGATGCTCTTGGAGGTTGGAGAGATGGCTTAATAGATAGGAACCCATGTTGCTTTTGCAGAGGATCAGACTTCAGTCCCAGGACTTGCAACCACTTATAACTCCAGTTACAGCAGAGGGGATCAGACCCCTTTCCCACTGTCTCAGGCACCTGTACATACGTGGTATACAATAGCAAGCAGGCATACACACATAAATGTAAATAAAAATTAAATATGAAATTCTATATATTCTTTTCGTAAATTATTTTCATTTCTCTGTGGTTGTTAAACAAAAGATACAAATCCTATATTTAGATTAGAATTATGTTTGACTAATATTTTTTTTCCATTTTAAGTTCTTTTTGCAGTTTCTTTTTTTTTTTTTTTTTTTTTTTTTTGGTTTTTCCGAGACAGGGTTTCTCCATGTAGTTTCTTTTAATTGTGGTTTTGTCATATATGCTCAAACAGGAGCTTTTGGAACAGATTTACTAGGCCCCGTCCTTAGGTCAAATTCTGTAAGCAAAATGGTATGGCTGTTATCTACAAGTGAAAACACAAATAAATAAAAGAACACAATAACAGGCTCTGAGAAAAAAATAGTTAACCAACTGAGAATTTAAGGGAATTTTATTATCCTGATAAAAGTCATAAGTAGCATCTTAGAAGTAAAAATATCACAGTTTTCCTCTGAAGATCAGGAAAAAGACAAGAATATTTCTCTTACCCTTTCATTTGACATTGTACTAGAAGTTCTACCCCAGTAAGGTAAAGCAAGAAAAATAAATGAAAAAAAATAATGAATATATGCTAAGAAAATCTATTTAAAACAGGAAATAAAAAGACATCCATGCAGGAAAGAAATACATAAGAGTATTGCTTATTTGCAGATGAAACAATCTTTTGGGGCAGGTATTTAGTTGTTTTTTTTTTTAAAACAAGGAAACAAAAACTAGCACTCATCACTTTTCAGACAATACACAATTATTCAAAATTAACTATTACTGGAAGGGCGGGGGCGGGGGGGCGGGCATACCAATGGGCCTTGTCTCACATGAGTGCATGTGGGTAGGTGCAGGGCGTTTGTCATTATTGCAGAAACAAATTTTAATTTTTAATCTTTAGTTTGATTTTAAACATTGCTTTTAGTATGAGGACAACACCAGCTGTGCAGAAAGGGCTCTGGAGAAGCGTTCATAGCAGCACACACCTGCGGCTCTTCTTCGGTTCTGGAGGCTCGAGGGCAGCCAAAATTGCTTCATCAAACACATTCTTCAGGCCTTTCTGTGTGAGGGCGGAGCACTCCACATACTTGGTTGCCTTCAGATCCCGGGCCAGCTTTTCAGCAGTCTCTGCAGTGATAGGCTTCTGTTTGCTCTTGGCAAGTTTCTCAAGAGTAGAGGGATCATCCCTGAGATCAATTTGGGTCCCAACAAGCAAGAAAGGAGTCTTGGGACAGTGGTGAGTTATCTCAGGCACCCACTTTTCTTTCACGTTTTCAAATAAGGATGGAGAAACCACCGAAAAACATACCAGAAAAACATCTGTTTGTGGGTAACTCAGCAGTAGCAGTCTGTCATAATCCTCCTGCCCTGCAGTATCAAAAAGTCCAAGAGTATATGGCTCTCCACCAATCATAACTGTGACCGCATAGTTGTCGAAAACAGTTGGCACATATTCCGATGGAAATTTGTTTGTTGTATAGGATATCAGGAGACATGTTTTACCAACAGCACCATCGCCGACAACAACACACTTAATTGTCTGCATTGCAGAAATAGTTCTGTATCCACTTTTAATATTTCAAATTAGATGTTGACCTCAGCTTCTCCTCTGGGGCGTTGGTAGCCAAAATAATCTTATATGTAGAAGATAAAGAAAAATAAATAAAGTGATGAGCAAGTTCACAATGCTTCAGAATACAAAATACCACCCCCAAATCCTTGTACTTTGAATAGTGGTAATGAACAGTGTGAAAACAAAGTTAAAAACACAACTCCAGGCCTCATCCCCAGCACTGTGGCAGGAAACATGCTTTCCTTTCTGACCCCATCCCCAATGGATCACAAAGATCTCCCCCAGCATTCCTTTTCCCAATTCATCCCATTTTTCCAGCCTCCAACACCAGCAGGCATTCGCTGTGAACATACCAGCTGAGCAGACCAGGGAAAACAGATAAGCTAACTGAATCCCTCCTGTCCGCCAAATCCAGTCCCCCAGTCTCATCCATAGCACTGCAACAGAACACCAGCTGCAGCCTCCCCTTCACCCCTGGCCACATCTCCTGTGGATCCTTATAACCTCACTCCCTCCACTTATTACTTTTCCCAGCCCCCAACTCCAGCAGGCACTTCTGCTAACCCAAGGGCAGCCCCTCCCAGGGCAAAAAGTACATGGAAGGCAGACAGACACTCAGCTCTCCTACTGCTCCTGAGATCCAATCCCTCCAGTCTCCTCCCCAACTCTGTAGCTGGAAACCTGCTGTGCTCTAGCTTTCCTCTCTGATCCATCCCCAATGAATCACAAAGACTTCCTCCAACCCATCCCATTATCCCAGCCTCCAACACCAGCAGGCTTTCCCTGGGAACACACCAGCTGAGCAGGCCAGGAAAACTGGCAGCACACACACAGGCATCACACTCTCCAAAAATCCAGAGAGGAAACAGAAAGCAAGGGACAAAACATTCACAGAACAAAGACAAATCCAGAAATCAGCACCCAGACCTATAATCATCTCAATCCCAGATGCTCAGTCTCCAGCATAAAAACAAAACCAGTAACAGCTAGGGCAACACATCTCCTTTAGAGGCCATCTATCCTATCACAGCAGGCCCTGAATACTCCAACATAGCTGAAGCACAACAAAAGACCTTAAAAACCAACTATATGAAGAAGATAGAGGTCATTAAAGAGGAAATAAATCCCTTAAAGAAATCCAAGAAAACACAAACAGTTAAAGGAAATGAATAAAACTGTTCAAGATCTGAAAATGAAAACAGAATCAATAATTAAAGAATTATTATCATAATAACAAATTATTGTAATAATAAAGAAAGAAAGAATAATAAAGAAAACCCAAACTGAGGAGATTTTGGGAATTAAAAATTTAGGAATTTGAATAGGAACTACAGAGGCAGATTTCATTAACAGAATATAAGAGATGAACGAGAGAATGTCAGGGATTGAAGATACAATAGAAGAAATGGATATATAGGTTAAAAAACGTTAAATCTAAAAAACTCCAGACAGAAAACATGCAGGAAATCTGGGACACTATGAAGAGACCAAATCTAAGGATGATAGAAATAGAAAAAGAAATACAGGTCAAAGCTACAGAAAATATTTTCAGCAAAGCCATAGAAGAAAAATTCCTAACCTAAAAAAGGAGGTACCTGTGTTGGTACAAGAAGCATACAGAACATGAAATAGATTGAACTAGAAAAGAAAGCCCTCTTGCCACAAAATAATCAAAACCCTAAATATATAGAACAAAGAAAGAATATTAAAAGCTGCAAGGGAAAAAGACCAAGTAACACATAACATATACAGACCTATTAGAATTATACCTGACTTCTCAATGGAGATTTTAAAAGCTATAAGGGCCTGGACAGATGTGCTACAGACTCTAAGAGACCACAGATGCCAGGTCAGACTATTATATCCAGCAAAACTTTGAATCACCATAGATAAAGAAAATAAGATATGCCATGATAAAGTCAAATTTAAACAGTATCTATCTATAAATACAGCCCTACAAAAGGTACTAGAAGGAAAACTCCACATAAGGAGATTAACTACAACCATGAAAACACAGGAAATAACTAAGTTCACATCAGCAAAACAAAAAGAATGGAAATACACACTCCACCACCAACAACAATAACAAAATAACAGGAATCAACAATCGTTGGTCTTTGGTATTTCTCAGTATCAATGGTCTCAGTTCCCCAGTGAATGTGAAAACAGTATCCACCCTTCTGTTGCCTGCAAGAAACATACCTCAACAGCAAGGATAGATATTACCTCAGAGTGAAGTGTTGGGAAAAGATATTCCAAGCAAATGGACCTACAAAACAAGCAAGTGTAGCCATTTTAATATCTAACAAAATAGGCTTCAAACCAAAACTAATAAAAAGAGGTAGGGAAGAACACTACATACTAATCAAAGAAAAAATCCAACAAGATGATGTGGTGGTATTGTGCTCCCCAAAATACTGTGCACCCTAATAAATTTATGTGGGGTCAGAGAACAGACAGCCACTAGATACAGAGGCTAGAAAATGGTGGCACTCACACCTTTAATCCTAGCACTCCAGAGGTAGAAATCCCTCTGGATCTCTGTGAGTTCAAGGCCACAGTGGAAACGGCCAGACATGGTGACACACGCCTTTAATCCCAGAAAGCGAGCCTTTAATCCCAGGGAGTGGTGGTAGAAGGCAGAAAGATATATAAGGCGTGAGGACCAGAAACTAGAAGCATTTGGCTGGTTAAGCGTTTGCCTGGTTAAGCATTCAGGCTTTTGAGCAGCAGTTCAGCTGAGACCCATTCTGGATGAGGACTCAGAAGCCTCCAGTCTAAGGAGACAAGACCAGCTGAGGATCCGGTGAGGTGAGGTAGCTGTGGCTTGTTCTGTCTCTCTGATCTACCAGCATTGACCCCAATAACTGGCCTCGGGTTTGATTTAATTAATTAGACCTTTTAAGATTTCTGCTACAAGATGACATTTTGATTCTTATCATCTATACCCCAAACACAAGGGCACCCAAGTTTGTAAAAGAAGCACTACTGCAGCTTAAATAATATATTTACCCTCACACATTGATAGTGGGAGACTGCAGTAACCTCCGCTCACCAACAGGCAGGATATACAGACAACAACTAAACAAAGAAATACTGTAGCTAACAGACATTATAAACCAGATTGATTTAGCAGATATTTACAGAACATCTCACCCAAACACTGTCGGAGCCTGCCGACAGTCAGCTAGGTAGCTGGTTGAAGGCGTGCGGATTGTAGAGACAATGAAGAAGACAGAACAGAGTCGAGAGGTCTGCCAGTCAATGCCAGACAGCCCCGGGTTTATTTCATAGCCGGCTAATATACAGTCTTGAAGGACAGAGGTAGAACAATGCACAGCACAGGCATTCAACCACTATCTATCCTGCCTTGAGTCAAGGAGCAGGCAGTTTCATTTTCTATCTCAGTGTGCCTCCCACTAGCATCAGCAGCCGGGGTCTAGCTAGATAGTGTGTTCCTTCTTGTGGGCTAATCAGTACTTTCTCACAGTCCTTCAAGGAGACTCTACAGGCTAATCAGGACTTTCTTGTGACTCTGGAGCAAGCAAGCCTGAACTCGATAGACTCAGAATAGGCGTCAGATTCAAACTGGGAAACTGAGTCAGTTGTGGGCTCCCACAAAACACAAAAGAATATACCTTCTTCTCAGAACCTCAAGAAACTCATAACAACTGACCACATACTTGGACACAAAGCAAATCCCAATAGATAAAAGAAAATTGGAATAACACCCTGCATCCTGTAGGACCACCACGGATTAAAGCTAGATAGAAACAACAGAAAGCTTGCAAATTAATGGAAACTGAACAACTCTCTACTGACTAAAAAAATGAGTCAAAAAAGAAATAAAGAAATCAAAGATTTTCTAGAATTCAATGAAAATGAATGTACAACATACCCAAACTTATGAGACACAATGAAAGCAGTGCTAAGAGGAAAGTTCATAGTACTAAATGCCTGTGTGAAAATTGGAGAGACCTCATACTAGCAACTTAACAGCACACCTGAAAGCTCTAGAACAAAAAGAAATAAGCACACCCAAGAGTAAGACAGCAAGAAATAATCAAACTAGGGGCTCAAATGAATAAAATAGAAACAAATAGAACAATATAAAAAATTAATGAAACAAAGAGTTGGTTCCTTGAGGAAAATCAACAAGATAAACAAACCCTCATCCAAATTAACCAAAAATCAGGGAGAGGATATCCAAATCAACAAAATCAGAAGGAAAAGGGGACATAACAACAGACGCTGAAGAAATCCAGAGAATCATTAGGTCATACTTCAATAACTTGTACTCACCAAATTGGAAAATATAAAAGAAATGGATAACTTCTTCAATAGGTACCACTTACCAAAGTTAAATCAGGATCATGTAAACAATTTAAACCAATCTATAACCCCTAGTATAATAGAAGCAGTCATTAAAAGTTTCCCAACCAAAAAAAGTCCAGAGTCAGGTGGTTTTAGCAAGAATTCTACCAGACTTTCAAAGAAGAATTAATACAAATACTCCTCAAATTTTTCCACAAAATAGAAACAGAAGGAACATTGCCCAATACATTTTATGAGGCCACAGTTACTCTGATGCCCAAACCATACGAAGACCCAACAATGAAAGAGAAAAACAGATCAATTTTTCCTGTATGAACATAGATACTAAAGTACTCAAAAAAATACTTGCAAACCGACAGCTGAGCAGCCCCCAACTGGACCAGGCCCTCTGGATAAGTGAGACAGTTGATTGGCTTGATCTGTTTGGGAGGCATCCAGGCAGTGGGACCGGGACCTGTCCTTAGTGCATGAATTGGCTGTTTGGAACCTGGGGCTTATACAGGGACGCTTAGCTCAGCCTGGGAGGAGGGGACTGGACCTGCCTGGACTGAGTCTACTAGATTGAGCTGAGTCACCAGGGGAGTCCTTGCCCTGTAGGAGATGGTGGGAATGGGAGGTGGGCTGGGGGGAGGTGGGGGAGCGCGGGAGGAGGGAGGACAGGGGAATCCGTGGCTGATATGTAAAATTAAATCAAATTATAAAATAAAAAAA